CGCAGAGACATACAGAGGTTTCGTAAAAAGATCAGCTACCTGATTTACTGAGGAAACAGGCAATAAATGGATTAAGCCTTGAACCACTTTCTCACGAACAACATGACAATCCAATTCAACATGTTTGGTTCACTCATGGAAAGTGGGATTGTGAGCCAAATATAAGGCTGAAGCATTATCACAATAAACTGCCGAAGCCTTGGTCAAAGGGAAATGTAAATCAACAAGAAGATAAGAAAGCCATTGAACCTCACACGAAAGGCAGGCCAAAGCTCGATATTCAGCTTCACAAGAAGAACGAGAGACAACAGTTTGCTTTTTGGATTTCCATGAAATGAGTGCTGAACCAAGAAACACACAATTCCCTGTAATGGAGCGTCTTGTATCAGGGCAAGAGGCCCAATCCGAATCAGAATAACCGGACAGCTTCAAGTCATTGGCATGAGGAAAGAAAAGACCAGAAGCAGGAGAATTCTTTATGTAGCGAAGAACTCGAGAGGCAGCAGCTTGGTGAATATCAGTAGGAGAAGAGATGAATTGACTTAACTGTTGAACGGAGAAAGCAATGTCTGGTCTTGTTGTGGTAAGGTAAAGAAGTCGTCCAACAAGACGACGATAAGATGAAGGATCAGATAATAAAGTCCCCATATCACGTTTAAGCTTGAGGGAAGCATCCAATGGAGTGGAGGCGGACTTTGCAGCAAGCAAACCAGAATCAGATAGAAGGTCTAACGCATACTTGCGTTGATTAACAACAATTCCCTTTGAGGAACGGGAAATCTCAAGACCAAGGAAGAATCGTAATGCACCAAGATCCTTGATCCGAAATTTATTATCAAGAAACTGCTTGACACGCTGAATTTCGTTTAAACAGTTGCCAGCCAACACCAAGTCATCTACATAAACCAAAATCGCCGTGAAATGAGAGCCATTCTGAGATGTAAAGAGGGAATGATCAGCCTGTGATTGAGCATATCCTAAAGAAAACAAAGCTGAAGTAAGCTTGGAGTGCCATTGCCTACTGGCCTGCTTCAGGCCATAAAGGGACTTGAGCAGCTTGCAAACTTGATTTGGTTTTGGACTGGTAACACCTGGAGGTAAAACCATGTAAACATCCTCATCTAAGTCACCGTGTAAGAACGCGTTATTGACATCCAATTGCTCCAAGAACCAATTTTGGGCAGCAGCAAGAGCCAGGAGAGTACGCACGGTGGTTAGCTTAGCTACTGGGGAAAATGTATCGAAGTAATCAATGCCTTCGATTTGGTTATACCCCTTTGCAACCAATCTAGCCTTGTGCCTCTCTATGGTGCCATCAGCATTATATTTGGTTTTAAAAACCCACTTGCATCCAATTGGAGTCTTTCCAGTGGGAAGGTCAACAAGTTTCCATGTAGCATTGAGAGACAAGGCTTGTAATTCTGTGTGCATGGCCTGCTGCCAACAATTGTGCTTAACAGCTTCAGTATAGGTTCTGGGATCAGCTTGCAGTGAGACATTAAAGCAAAACTGCTGGTACTTAGGAGAGCAACGATCATATGTGAGAACAACATGTAGGGGATACTTGACAGTAGAGGATGTATGAAAGGAGTTGCAGTGAAAATCATGAAGGTAAGAAGGTGTTTGTCTGATTCTGGAAGAACGACAAATTGAAGACAAAGGAATTGGTAGTTGGGTGACAGGAGGGTTGGGATCCGGTAAAGAAAAAGGAGGGTCAGTAGGCTCAGTAGTGGTGTGGTGAGGGGAATCATAATCAAGTAAGGGAGAGTGGGGCAGGACAGTGAAGTTATTGGGGTCACTGTCAGGAATATTGGAGGTAGGGAAAAAGGAAAGGAAGTTTCATAAAAGATGGTATTACGAGAGATAAAAATTTGTTGGGTTTGGAGGTCATAAAGTATACAACCTTTGGTATGGGCAGGGTGTCCTAAAAAGACAGATTTACAGGCTCGAGGGGACAATTTGTGTCTATGGGAGGACAATGTGGAGGCATAAGTCAAACAGCCAAACACTTTGAAGTTGGCTAGGATGGGTGGTTTGGAATATAGGACTTCATAGGGTGACTTTTGCTGAAGTATAGGTGTTGGAAGGTTATTAATGATGTAGATGGAATGATTTACTGCAAAACTCCAAAGAGAATGTGGAAGGCATGCTTGGAATGCCAAGGCTCTTGTGACATTCATGATGTGTTGGTGTTTGCGCTCCATTAATCCATTTTGTTGTGGAGTTTCAACACAACTAGTCTCATGTATGATCCCCTTTTGTGCATAAAATTCTGGTATCATGAACTCCTTGCCATTATCAGTCCGAATGCATTTCAATGATACATTAAACTGGTTTTCTATGAGATTAATGAAATTCTGCAGCATTGTTCGAGTCTCACTCTTATGAACCATGAATCTAACCCAAGTGAATCTGGAAAATTCATCTACTAAAGTCAGAAAGTATCTATATCCTTGAATAGTAGGAACAAAAAAGGGCCCCCAAATGTCAGCATGCAATCTTTCGAACACCTTATTCACCAATGAATTACTAGATGGAAATGACAACTTCTTTTGTCTGGACAAATGGCATATATCACAAGGTTTTGTAACTACATTTCTGATAAAAGGAAATTGGGAAGCAACATGCTTCATGACATTATCTGAAACATGGCCTAAACGAAGATGCCATATAGATGGATCATCTTTATTACATTGAACAGAATTACTAAAGTTGTGAAATCGTGACTCCAAAGGAATCAAGTCAGTGGCCATTACAAACAATCCTCCATGCCTCTCAGCTGTACCAATCGTCCTCAAAGTGCAGTTCTGCTTGATGAGACATGTTGAAGCATGAAAAGTGAGGAAACAATCAACATTATCAAGTAATCGTGTAACTGACACGAGATTAACCTTGAATTCAGGGACATACAACACATTCTTTAAAATGAGGGAAGAAGAAATGTTGACATTTCCAGAATATGAAGCAGAAACAGAAGCACCAGTTGGCAATTTTATGAATATAGGTGATATCTTGTGAAGAGAAGAAAACACGCATCGAAGATTAGCAATATGATCTGTAGCTCCGGTATCTAAAATCCATATAGTTGAATTCATACCTGTATTTGGGAAAATATGATCATCTACTGCTGTTTGGGCCATATTTGCGACATGTTCAGAATCAGATTGTTGCATGAAGCTGCAGAATTCCTCATATTTGTTTCTTGGAATTGAGATCTGTTGCTGCACGTCATTGTCACAAATTTCAGCAGTATTATTAGTATCATTTGAAATTACAGCATTGCTAGAATTTGGATAATTCCTTGAACGATAGCCTTGAGGAAATCCATGTTTGAAATAACATGCATCAATCGTGTGGTTAGTCTTTTTGCAGTGAGTGCAAAATTTGTTCCCTATGGCTTGTCCACGTCCAGTATTGGACCTTCCTCTACCTCTATTGTATGTGAAACCACGGCCACGATAGTTATCAGAAGAGTTTGCAAAAAAATTTATCTCCCTTGCACCTCCACCATGTGCATCTGATTGGAGTTGCCTCTCTTGTTGTAAAACCAGAGAAAAGGCTCTGTTAATGTTAGGGAGAGGAGACATGAGCATTATTTGTGAACGGACATGAGCAAATTGCTCATTGAGACCTCTCAAGAATTTGATTACTTGATCAGTGTCTCTGTACTCACGTATGCGAGCTAAGTTTCCACAAGTGCAGGGAGGAAGAGGTCTAATGTTGTTCAGCTCATCTGAAATTGTCTTCAAGCTTGTGAAATAATCAGAGACCGATTTTCCACCTTGATTAATCTGATGAAAATCTTCTTGCAGATATGATATCCTAAACATATCAGATTGGGAGAAGCGATCTTGCAAGTCACTCCACACTTCATATGCTTTATCAATCCAAAGAATCGATTGAACAATGGAATTATCAAGAGAACGGTGAAGCCAAGAGAGTACCATTGTGTTGCATCTCTCCCAGGCTGGAAATTGTGGATCTTCTTCTTCAGGAGCTGTGATGTTGCCATTAACAAAGACCAGCTTGTTCTTTGATGTTAAGGCTACTTTCATGGCTCGTGACCACGAATTGTAATCTTTCCGTTCATCAACGGAGAAACAAGAATCAAAGAAGGTGATTCGTTTGGGTGAAGATGATAGGGATCTGAGAGTTGGTTTTGATCTGGCATAGTTGTGCAGATTATGGATCTTGATCGGAGAAAACAGTTACAGAAGCGATGAATGGTTCAGAGCCCTTAAAGCTCTGATACCATCTTAGAATCCTGAGTAATTCTCATTATGCAAAACTAATTTACAATAGAAGGATTTTCACCTTATATACATCAAGCCAAAAACGCGGTAAAGATCAGTAAGTTGTAACTAACTAACAATAAGGAAACTGATGCCAGCTCATAGGCAAACAGCATTAGTTAGAATCATCCACGTGTTCCATAGCTGAATTGGAGTATGGTAACACCTTTTCTGACGTCATTTAATTTGTGTCCAACGTGCTTGCCTAAATCACCACACACAATTCCACACCCTAAATCACCAAGCACTATGTCAGTCACTATTTGGCCTTCTTTTAAGTTTTCAGCAAAGTCTATCCACCAAAAAAACAATGTCCCGTCTCTATTATGACACGGCTACATTATGTAATGATTCATCGACCAAGTTCTTTGCACTTTACTGATATTTAATTCTACTTTTATCAAGATGGCATCCCGGTGGGACTTCTGTGTTAATACTTTATATTTACGCCATTCAAAGTAACGTTTATCGCTAGATCATTATTTTCAACAAATTAACTCGTAATTAAGTCCAATGGCAAAACTTGCACCCAATGTTGGGCTGATGAAAGTAACTCATGGGCCAGAGGGTTGGTATTAATCTCAGACTATCAGGTAAAGTCTATTATTATCCTTTCGGGCTTAAGCCCACAGAAAACAGGAACGGGCCTACAAAAGGGCCCAAGATTCAAGAATAATAATAAAATGTGACTTAACTGCAAGGGAGAAAGAGAAAAGTAGAAAACCATGGTCGCGAAACCACACATGATCTTTGCGTATGGCACGCTGAAGGAAGGATTACCCAACCATGCTCTGATGGAGGAGCTGATGGACAAGGACGACGCCGTTTTGGTGGGGACCTACTTCACACGGCAGCCCTACCCGCTGGTGTGCGGGCCCCACGGCATCCCCTACCTCATAAACCTAACCGGGCCGGGTCAACGGGTGAAGGGCGAGGTGTACGCCGTGTCCGATAGCGCCCTGGTTCGGCTGGACGAGTTCGAAGGTGTGAGCGCTGGGTATTATGAGAGGCTACCGGTTGTGGCGGTGGAGGAGGGTGGCGAATCGGTGGAGGCGGAGGCATATTTCGGGCACCGGAGTTTCGGGGAGGTGCTATGGAAGGTGAAGGGGGAAATGGGGCTGAGAGAGTATGGGGAGAAAGAAGCGAGGGAGTATGTGAGGAAGGAGGACAGGCCAGGTGGCAGAAACAATATACTTGACCTAGTTCGTTAGTTACTGTTCTGTCTTCAACTCTTCATCAGCGTCTCTTGTCGCAATTTAGTTTGTGTATTTTTTAATAAATAAGGGAAAAACTACTCTTATAAAACATAAGAGTAGTTTATCTCCTATAGACCCATCAAACATTGTGATTTTTTTTTTTTTTTTTTGTAAATAGTGGCCCACCATATGTGTCAATTATCTCTCGTGTAACATGAGATTAGATGAACCCAATAAATAAATATTGGTTTAGTATGTTTCTCAAATTTTATTTCCTCCGCATAAAAATATGATCAACATAAATAAAAGAGAGAAATAAAAAATGGGATAGAATATTGTGACACCCAAATTATGTTACACCCATGTGACACTCAGTCAATCTCACCGTTAGATCGCTTATGTTGATCCAACGGTTATATTTATTTCCATCTTTGTATGGTCATGATTTCCCAAATTTAAAGTGAAAGCATTAAATATGAGAAATCATAACCATACAAAGATAGAAATAAATATAAAATATTAAATTTGGAAAATCATGACCATACAAAGATAGAAATAAATATAACCGTTGGATCAACATAAGCGATCTAACGGTAAGATTGACTAAGTGTCACATGGGTGTAACATAACTTGGGTGTCACAATATCATATCCCATAAAAAATATGTATAAAAATAAGTTTATTGTTACAAAATGAGAAGAAAATAAACCTCTAAATAATTTGCTGTTATCTGCTGTTCATATCGGAGGGCTCTTCGCCATTCGACAAGTGGACGCTAATAATAAGTAACTATTATTTCAATTCGATCAATATTGAAACCTAAGTACCTAACCATAAATTAGTACCCCATTTTTTATACATAAAATAATTAAGGGATCACATTTAAAGATTTTTTGAAACTTTAAAAATCTATTAAGATTTTTTAAATTATGGAAATCTATTTAAAATTTCTAAAAAAATATAGAGCCATAGATTAATTTAACCAACGAAAAAAGTTTCATTTAAGAACTTTCTTTTGTTTTTTCTCATTTTTTGCTCTGTCAATAAAGTTAGTAAAATCACTGGTTATCCTGAATGTTTGTTGGAGATCGAATTTGATTAAATTTTACTCAAAATTTATCTGCAACTATACCCAAACCAACCGAACTAGTTGAACCTATTGAGCTGGATTGCTCACACAATAATAAATCAAAGAAACAATGAGGATTCAAATTCCCCCTTTTTTTTTTTAGAAAAAAATGTAAGGGAGAAGAGAAGAAGTTGCATTGCTTTACAAGATGAGAGCCTCTCACGAACCTTAACGAGCACTTAACCTGATACTAAGAGACAATGTATAAATGAATGAGAGACATCTAGAGACTCTTAAAGAGTATCTATCTCTGTCCTATAAGAGAAGTGATTATTGGAAGAACTACTTTTTATTTTGGATATGAAAAAAAAAAATTATCATGTACTCTTTTTACACATAAAAGAGTGTATGTACGTAAAAGTAGCCAAAATGTTCATATACAGCTTCTTACAGTCCTTTATTTCCTAATTAACTTTTCCAGTACATTTGCGAATTTAATCTGTCAGTCGCATTTGAACCGCTTAAGGTAAAATGAAGTGGCAAACTAATTCCATTACTAATTACACATAATACTGATCATAGTCCCTTTATTTAGTACAATTTATTTTACAATCTTGTTTCAGAGTCGGAGTAAATTAACCTTCGTATTATCATACATGCATATTTGACCTGTCCTGAATCATTTATCGTGCGGCACTTTGTTATCAAAAGCACAAGTGCATGGTCCAGAGCATTCAGCATAGCCCTTGTTTGAGCCTGCATCTGGGCTTTCAGTCCTAAAAATGCCACACTTGCAGAATGCTAGGCTGCCGCTACCACCGCTACTCACTACATCACATAGCAAGTTTAACTCTTGGGACACTGCTTCACCATCACTGCACTTGAATTTTAGCACATATACAACTTAAACTGAAAGGGACGCGGACCCTAACTTTGGAAAATGAATCGAAAGAACAGGAAAGGAAAAAGAGACAGAGAGAACAAGAACCAAATGTTTCATATATTTTTCATGTCCTTCTCAAAGTAAGGGACTAACTATATTAGTGAGTAACCCACACCGCTGGCCACTTTACTTGCTACATCAACTAGCCACGTTACTTGCTACAACAACTACATAATCAGGTAATGAGGCCACGTTGCTTGCTACAACAACTACACTATACAATAGAAAGACACTACAAGACTACACAGCTATATAACAGACACCTAATACAAACTCCTTAATATGCTGGGCTAACTTTAGATATGAGAGATAAAGTCCTTAGTCCACACGTAACATTGCCTTCCCCTCAAAAACGGACCTTGTCCTCAAGGTCCCAATGAAAAAAAAAGAACTAGAAATCCTTTTATATAGGTTGCAGAGGCTGTGTATTTTTTTTTTTTTTTAAAGACTTTATCTCTTCATTCAAATACACAGCTACGAGCTTCTAAATGTCTGATAAGCATCTCAGGTAACAGAGATCTTAGTGAAAGATGGAGCTTTACTTTTGTTAGCCCTCCACATGCCAATAAGGTTGCAGCCAATCCTCCTGGAACCAAGCCCTGTAGATGAAGCATGGTAAAGCTATGAAGGCAAGTGATACTAGCAAGTGATAGAAGCCCCATATCTGTAACTGAGCTATATGACAAATTTGTATGTCTTAGATTTTAGGAAAAATGAGCTAGTGATGTCATCCCACTATAATCAATGTTGTAGCACTTCTTTATGTTCAAACGTCTTGGTTGTTTGCAATTCGTAGCATTTGCGGCCAGACCAAGAGATGTAACAAGATGACATCCACTAGTTTCAAGTGTCTTCAAATTTAAACATTTAGACAAGAATATTAATGTACTATCAGTGATGCTAGTACAACAAGATGTATTTATCATCTCAAAGCCAGGGTAACCACGAGCAAAGAGTAGCTGTGCAGCCATGTATGCAGAGTAATCTCTTAGTTTTGTCTTCAGGGCGTTGGTATTATCTGCATTTGTCTTCATGGATTTGAGACAGTCTCCGTGGAACAGTGGATCCATAATCCAACCAACTACAAAATCACGGGCTGCTTGAGTTGCTTCACAGTTTCCCTCTATATTTGTTAGAGGAAGGAATACAAACGCATAGACAGAGAAACCAACAAATCCATGTTGTTCGGCCCTATACTTTCTTCTGTACAAACTCATAGCTAAAAAATGCAATAACAAAATATGATGAACTGCCAAGTAAGGTTCAGATGTTGAGTGGCCCCTAATGCTATTTGTAGTGCAAAATATGGGAGAAAATCTTTGAAGTGGGGCATTTCCCTGATCATAACCGCCTATGGCAAACACATTGGGCTCGTTCACAGTAGTCCAATATAAGACTCTGTCACCAAATTCTTTAAAACAAACATCCGCAAAGTTTGTGAAATCTCTTATGATGTTACAACTGACCCATCCTCCATATTCATCTTCAAGTGCCTGTGGAAGAGTAAAACTGTGTAGCTTGACATTTGAAGGAACTTTTAACACAAATTGTGCAGTGAAGGTCCACCCTTTAAAATTATCCCTCTCCAACCATTCAAGCCTCATTTCAAAATTAACACAGAGCCAACTCTTGAAAAGATAATCAGAATATAAGTCTCTAACCTTGAGACTTCGAAGAACACTACTCGAGATATCAAAAGAAGGGTAACAAGAAGCAACATAAGTAGATTTCCATGATCCATTGTATCGAAACACACCAAAAAAATTATCTAATACATGATTCCTCCAAAAGGATTCATGTTTGTTAAAAACATAAAAAGACTTGCTTGCAGTGGCCAAAACCCCCAAACTAGTACCACCCAAAAACCCTCCTAGGTTCCAAGTAAAATGAAACCTTGTAAAGGAAACTACTATTAAGCTAACACTTACAGATTTAGGACAAAGCTCTGCACCATTAAGAAATTCTCCAGGGTCCCAATAGAACAAGGGGTCAGATAGTATCATGGACCAAGACCTTATATTTAGGTTAGGCATTTCATCAAAAATTTGTCTTGCAACTACCATATCATCAGAGACACAGTATATGGCCATCAAACTATTACCCACGAATATACCAAACACATGTCCCAATTTTTGGTAAGGTAGGTGATTTATTGACGGTGTAAGTAAATCGTCAAGCTAAGGAGGGGCACCAGTTTTCACCTCACAGCCAACCAAAAAGGAATCAACTGACTTAGCTTCCACATCAATCAAAATTGGAGTTTTTGCAATACACTGATGCGCCACTGCAGAAGCCACAGCCACTCGATCAACATCTTCATAGCCATAGTCAGTTTCTGACATAAGTGGCGCCCCTAAATGGGAGGTCGTACCAGCAACCATCTCTTGATTTTCTTGATTGACTCCAAGACCGGAAACAACAACACTAATAGCATCTTCCGAAACTGGGACACTGCCATCGAAACTCGTTGTAGAAGCTATGGTACTAACCTTTGCGAAATCAGCTTTAATCTTGGCGAAGTCAGCACACATCTCGTTTCTAAAACTTGCAAAGTCAGCATACATCTCTGTGCTAAATTGTGCAAGGTTTGTAATGGCTACAGCGAGATTATCCACAAGTGTTGCAATGGAAGGTGAAGTTGAAAGATGGGGTTGAGAAGCCTTAAATTCATCCTGTATCTTGAAGAACGAAAATGAGTTCAACAAGATGAAAGCACCAATTGTTACGGACTTTGAGGTCACCACCCCAAAAGCTAGCTCAAAGGGTGAGAGTGCCCAAGGCCTTATAAACCCCACATTAGTTGTATAGGCAACCAATGTGGGACGGCGTCCACGGCGGCTTTCACTCTATCGATACTGACCCGACGGTAGCCCTTTCCCTCCTTTGGGGCGGCTTCACTCATCTATCAGTATTCAGTGTCCAAAGACACCTTAATCCAGCCTATAGGTAGCCCTTTCTGTAGCCCCAACTCTCAATGAAAGCACCAATGAAAGGGACGCGAACCCTAACTTTGGAAAATCAATCGAAAGAACAGGAAAGGAAAAAGAGACAGAGAGAACAAGAACCAAATGTTTCATATATTTTTCATATGCCCTTCTCAAAGTAAGGGACTAACTATATTAGTGAGTAACCCACACCTCAGGCCACTTTACTTGCTACAGCAACTAGCCACGTTACTTGCTACAACAACTATACAATCAGGTAATGAGGCCACGTTGCTTGCTACAACAACTACACTATA